GCTGCTGCTGCTGCTGCTGCTGCTGCTGCTGCTCCTTCGCAGCAGCAGCAGCAGCAGCAGCAGCAGCAGGAGCAGCAGGAGGACGGGGCTTGCGGGGAAATGTTGGTGGCAGTGAAGGCTTTCCGGCACCGGGACAGCCAGTGTCTGGAGCGGAGTTTGTTTGCTGAAGTGTCCGTACTCTCGCTGCTGCGGCACCCGAACGTGCTGCTGCTGCTGGGGGTTGTGGGGCCTCCGGTGTACGGACTGGTGACGGAGTTCGCGGGCGGCGGCTCGCTCTTCGAGCTGCTGCAGCGCAGCGGGCCGCTGCCGCTGCAGCAGGCCGTGCGGCTGGCCCGCGAAGTGGCCTTGGGAATGAACTACTTGCATGCAAGTGGCGTGCTGCACTGCGACTTGAAGAGTCCGAACATTTTGCTGACAGCAGCGGGCGAGGTGCGTCTCTGCGACTTCGGGCTGGCCACGGTGCTTGCTGCTGCGGGCCAGCAGCAGCAGCAGCAGCAGCAGCGGCAGCAGCAGCAGGGGCAGGAACATGCTGCGCACCTCGGATGCGTAGGCACTCACCACTGGATGGCCCCCGAGAGTAAGACGCAGCAAAGCAGCAGCGCAGCAACGCAGCAGCGCAGCAGCGCAGCAGCTTTTCGGACTCCTGCTGCTGCTGCATGGCTTCCTGCTGCTGCTGCATGGCTGCTGCTGCTGCTGCGCTGCTGTGCTGCTGCAGTTCTGCGCGGAGAGCCCTTCACGTTTGCTGCGGACGTTTACTCCTTCGGCATTGTCCTCTGGGAAATGCTCATGGGCGACTTGCCCTTCTCAGGTGAGCCCAGCCAACGCTGCTGCTGCTGCTGCTGCTGCTGCTGCTGCTGCTGCTGCTGCTGCTGCTGCTGCAGCAGCCTTTCCGAGGCGCTGCTGCGGCGCTGCTGCTGCTGAAGGGGGCTGGCTGTGGAGCGAGGGCAGCACGCGACTTGGGGCCACCACCACAACCACCACCACCGCCGCCGCCGCTGCTGCTGCTGCTGCTGCTGCTGCTGCTGCTGCTGCTGCTGCAGGGATCGCGTCTTCCGCGCACCTGATAACAGTTGTGGGGTACGGAGGAGTCAGCCCCCCCCTCGACAAGATCCCGAGGCCCCTCAGGGGCTTTCTCCGCAGCTGTCTGCAGCAAGACCCTTCTTTGAGGCCCTCTTTTGCTGCTTGTGCGCAGCTGCTGCAGCAGCTCTACACTGCCAACTTGCTCGACGTCGAGGTCGACTTGAACTCGCTCCTCGGGCTGGGCTCTTAGCAGCAGCAGCAGCAGCAGCAGCAGCAGCAGCAGCAGCAGCAGCAACCAGCAGCAGCAGCCAGCAGCAGCCAAGCGGCAGCAGCAAGTAGCAGCAGCAACCAGCAGCAGCAACCAGCAGCAGCAACCAGCAGCAGCTACCAGCAGCAGCTACCAGCAGCAGCAGCCAGCAGCAGCTACCAGCAGCAGCTACCAGCAGCAGCTACCAGCAGCAGCAGCCAGCAGCAGCTACCAGCAGCAGCTACCAGCAGCAGCTACCAGCAGCAGCAACCAGCAGCAGCAAATCTGAGGTCACACTTGTGTCCTCCTTTCTTCTTTTCTTTCCAAAAAACAAATTTTTACTTGCATGCAACGCAGTTTCCCTTAGCCCCTTCTTCTGCCTTTTTTTCTAGCTCGTCTTGTCTGAGGGGCCCCCAGGGGGGCCCCAAGGGGGCCTTAAAGGGGCCCCAAGGGGGCCCCAAGGGGGCCCCAAGGGGGCCCCAAAGGGGCCCCAAGGGGGCCCCAAGGGGGCCTCAAGGGGGGCCCCAGGGGGCTTCTAGAGGCCCGCTCAGGACCCCGGGGGGCCCCCCGGGGGCTTTGGGGGCCCCAAGGGGGCACCCAAGGGGCCCCCTGAAGACCCTGGGGGGCCTCCCTGGGGCTTTGGGGGCCCCAGGGGGGCCCCAGGGGGCCCCTCGAGGCCCCCTAAAGACCCTTGGGGGCCCCCCAGGGGCGGCGGGGGCCCCACGGGGGGCCCCAAGGGGACAGACCCTGGGGGGCCCCCAGGGGCTTTGGGGGCCCCGTGGGGGCCCCCAGGGGCTTTGGGGGCCCCCTGGGGGCCCCCAAAGCCCCGGAGGTTTGCTGCGAATTGCTGCAGCAGAAGTCGGGCTAAGGTCAAAAACGAAAACCCAGTGTGTCTTGGTTGAGGTAGTGATCAACTAATCAAATTAATGGATTTAGTTGATTAATTAATTAATTTAATTAAATAATTAATTAAATTAATTCATTTAATTCATTAATTTAATCAGTTTATTTTATTCGGGAATCCCAGAAAGCCAGCCTCTAGAAAAAGTTCCCTGAGAACTGAAAGCCAGGTGCTAGGGCCAGCAGCAGCAGCAGCAGCAGCAGCAGCAGCTGCTGCTGCTGCTGCTGCTGCTGGGGAGGGATGGCAGCTTATTTGCAGTTTTCTGTGCTGCTGGGGTGCAGCCGTTCGAGCCACGAGTTACACTGGAGTGTTTAGCTGCTGGCATGGTTTGCTTATTATTATTATTATTATTGTTATTATTATTATTATTATTATTATTGTTATTATTGTTATTATTATTGTTATTATTATTATTATTATTATTGTTATTATTATTATTGTTATTGTTATTATTAATATTGCTATTATTATTATTATTACTACTACTACTACTACTACCATTATTACTATTATTATTGTTATTATTCTTATTATTATTAATATTACTATTATTATTATTACTACTACTACTACTGCGGCTCAGTTTGCATAATCTTTTGGCCTGCTTGCGGGCCTCCGTTGCGCAGAAAGAGGCCGGAAAGCCGGGCAGAGAATTCAGGGTTTAGGGTTTAGGGTTTAGGGTTTAGGGTTTTGTGGGGCGGCCGTTAGATATTGGATGAAAAGTGCGTGTGTTGCAGCTCAAAAATGGCATTTAAGACGAAGTCATTTAAATGAGAGACAACAATAAACATTTATGAATAAATGAATAAAAGGAATGAAGTGAAATGGAGCTCGTGTGCACTTGCAGCTAGTTCCGGTGTACGTACACCTGGCGAGGACTGCAGCAGCTGAGCGTCTGAAAACTTCATTTTCGTTTTTGCTGTCTGTACACCTCAGCGCCTGTGCAGATCTTCAAAGCCAGGCGCATGCAGGGCTGAACAAGTCTCACCAAAAGAAAAAAAGCCAACTGGCGGGCAAACAAAAACATTAAAACTTTGTAATATTCCATTTTTAATGTTAAATTCAATACTAGAGTGTTATTTGATTAAGGAATAAGTCTCCGCTGTTTCGAGAGGATGCAGCAGTCTGGTCGGGGGCCCCTCGGGGGGCCCCCAGCAGCTGCAAGCTGTTCGCATTGCTGCAGACTGGGGGCTGGTTTCTCGCAGAAAGCTGGAGCCTGACTTTAATTTTTACTTTATTTCAGATTTAATAATTGTGAATTTAATTAAATCTTTGGAGAACTGCTCAGTCCCAGCTGGGGTGTACAGCCACCGCGCGCAAGCCGGCGCCGCCGACCGGCGGCGCTTCCCACTCCTTCTGTGCAACTGGCTGCTTATTTGTTTCTTTTTTGCTTTTTTAGAATGAATTTACCTTTTAAAAACGAATTTGCCGCTTTTATTTCGCCATTTCGCGTTTAAAAGTCGCTTTCGCGCCCATGCGCGCCCGCTGAGATGTACAGACACTGCACTGCTCGCCTCAAGGCAGCCGCCGCAGCTGCTGCGCAAGCCGCATTTTTCTTCTTCTCCATTTCCCTTTCAATTTGTTGGCTTTCGGGCTGGCCTTTGCTGGGCCTCCTGGGGGGCCCCCTGGGGGGCCCCCTGGGGGCCCCCCAGGTGCAGCAGTCGCTCGAGGGCGCAGGGGAAAGGGTCTACGCTTTGAGCCCCGCTGTGAAGGTACAGGGGCCCCACTCGCCCGGCCTCCGCTGCCCGCTGCTGCTGCTGCTGCGCTGCTGCTGTGCTGCGCTGCAGCACTGCTGCGGCGCTGCTGCTGCGCTGCTGCTGCTGCGCTGCAGCAGCTGCATAGAGGCAGCTGGGTGTCTGTGCTGCTCGCGTGCTGCAGGAAGCCATGGAGAAGGCGGGAGTTGTTCATTCTGCTTGTTTTGAAAAAGAAAGAAAAGACGAAAATGAATTTTTAATTTGCATCGGAAGAGCCAACTGCGCCCACGCGAAGACGCGCAACAACGCGCAGCTGCTGCCTGCGCCGGAGGCCCTGGAGTCTCCTGAGGGGAAGAGAAAGTTCGTTTTAATTCAGTTTTATTTTTAATTCAAATTCAAATTAATTCAAATTCAAATTAATTCAAATTCAAATTTATTCAAATAAGTCCACTGCGGCATTTAATTGCAAATTAATTCCAAATAAACCCACGCTGTCCGCGCGGCAGGCGGCCGCTTAAAGGCTGCTGCAGCAGCATCTCCCCTGCTTCCGTCGTTGCTGAGAGCTGCAGCAGCAGCAGCAGCAGCAGCAGCTGCTGCTGCTGCTGCTGCTGCTGCGGCAGGCCGAGAGGTGCTGCTTCACAGCAGCAGAGTCCCTGACAGCCTGCAGCCCGTGCTGCAGCGCAGCGGGCGAGGGTGCAGCGCATGCAGCGGGCAGGAAGCAGTTCGAAGGGCAAAACAGAATTCCAAAACTTGAATTCAAAACTTGAATTCAAAACTTGAATTCAAAACTTGAATTCAAAACTTGAATTCAAAACTTGAATTCAAAAGTTGAATTCAAAAGTTGAATTCATTTGCTGCGTGCAGAGCCATGGAAGTGACCCACGCAGTGCTGACTCACGTGGCGAGGGAACTGCAGACGAGCGACTTGAAAGCCTTGATGGGCAAAGTGAGCGCCTTGGGCTTGGCCTGCGACGGGCTGCAGCTTTCGCCGCAGCAGCAAAGTTGAACTGGGGCGATCCGCGGGAAAGCGCGGCTCTTTTTCGAATTTCTTTCTTTTTCTCTTTTCCAAAATTCAAAACTCGTTTTCTTTGTTCGAAAGAAAAGGCGGAAAGCGCGGAATCCGCGGGCTTTCCTGCAGCGGCTCCGCGTGAGGCGGGCTGCTGCGCCGGGTTTCTCGCTGCGCTTTTCCGGCCGGCGAAACGAAAAGACTTCACACAATTACTTTTAAATGTTTTTTTTTAATTTTCTTTTTCAAAGTTAACGGGCCAGGCTTTTCACCGAAAAATGCAGAACAACATTAGTGGCGTAATCGCAGAAGTGAAGTTGCATTCAGCCGGCGAACTTGGGGTGTATAGGCAGCTCCAGAACCCCGTTCAAGTTTCCCGCAGCCGTGCGGCGGCCGTTCCACAAAAGCCCTCCGCCATTTTTATTTTAAATTAAATGCAGTTGTTATGTTTTGCTTTTCGCTTCCCTTTCTGTCGCTTTTGCTGCTCCTCGCAGCGGCCATGCGCGCCGCCGCCGTGGGCGGCGCCGGCGGCGCGCCCGCGGCCTTCACTGCAATGATGGAAACCCACAAAGACTTCGAGGAAGCTCTCGACTTAGTCTTTGACGGGCCTGCAGATGTTCTTGTGGGCACTCGAGTAAGTCCAATTCATTTCTTTTGCAACTTCTGCATTTTCACTGAAGGTTTCCGCAGCCGGGCGGGCGGTTGACTGCGCCGGCGACGCGAAACCCGGTGAGTTCGCGCTGAGTCCTGCGCGGAAACGGAATTTATTTTCTCAATTCTTTTTATTTTTGACTTTTTATTTGTTTTAATTCTTTTCAATTCGCCAGAATGGACTTATTATTGTTGTTCTGGTGAGCCAGATCTCCGCAGCCGCCACCCGCAGCGGGAAAGCCCCTCCCCAGGCCAACGGGATAACAGTTCAAAATGTGGGCGCGAGCACAAGAGCCCAGCTGTGGGCGTTTGCCCCCGTGAGTTAACTTCAAGACCTTTTTTTTTCATAGTTAAGAGCCCCGCTGCTGCTCCTGCTGCTGCTGCTGCTGCAGCTCTGCTTCGAAAGGACCTACAGCCCCAACGCCGGCAAGATCTTCGTGAAAGGACCTTTTAAAAAAGAAGTCTTCGAAATAAATAAACCCAAAGAGCCCAAGCAGTTGCCTCGCAAGACGCAGCAAGTGTTTCCCACGGCGAAGTGCAGTGAGCCGCAAAGTTGCAAAAGAGGAAAGAAATTAAAACCAAAAAGAAATTAAAACGAAAAAGAAATCCAAACAAAAAAGGGAATTAAAGTCCATTAAAGCACCTATGGATGCATGCGCTGTCCAGACACTGTTTACTTCCACTTGAGCGCAAAACAAAGAATGAAAATCTGCGCGAAAAACCAAAAAATCAGCAGCAGCAGCAGCAGCAGCAGCAGCAGCAGCAGCAGCAGCAAACCCCCGGAGTGGCTGCTGCTGCGGGAAACCCTGAGCTCGCCAGCCCCAGAGCGCATGCAAGGTGACTTTGTCTTTGGAATATTAAAAAGGAATTGCATTTAAATGCTTTTATTCAAACAAATGGCCACCACTTCTCAGGAGAAGTCTGTCCCCTCAAAATGCATGCAAAACGCTCTTCACAAAATGTTATGACGAAGAGGCTGGCGAAGGCGTGAGAGAAACAGACTTGCAGCTTGGGGTGTACGTACACCTCGCGCCCGCAGCTTCGAAGAGGAAGCCGCCGTCGTCGTCAAGTTCGTTTTCTTCACTTCAAAACTTTCCAAACTAAACAAAGTTAACTCCAGAACTCTTGTGGAAGTCGGCGCCGACGTCCACCATCAGCAGCTGCTGCAGCAGCCGCTGCAGCAGCAGCAGCAGCTGCAGCAGCCGCTGCAGCAGCAGCAGCAGCCGCAGCAGTTGCAGGAGAGTGAGTGACGCAGCTTCCGTCTCCGCTTCCTTCGCTCATTGCTGCTGCTGCTGCTACTGCTGCTGCTGCAGTCCTCGGCCGCAGGTGAGCAGCAGCAAACCGGCAGCAGCTGCTGCAGCAGCTGCTGAACTTGCGGAATCCTGCAGCCAGGGCTCGGGAGGCCAAGTGATTTACTTAAGTGCTGCTCCCTCAGCAGCAGTTCTTCGAAAAAATCCTGAAATGGGACTTTACAACGCATGCACAAATAGTGAGAAAGCGAAAGTTCAAGTTCGGCAAGTGGCGGCATCTGGGGTGTACGTACAGCTCAGCTCTGCGTGATCGTGAACCGAGCCGAAGGCAAGTCTGCACTTCTTTCACTTCAAATGATCTTTTTTGAAATTTAAAACACTTTTTTGTTGAATTCAAATATTCTTTTTTGAATTTTAAACCACTTTTTGCATGCAACAATGCAGCTCCGGAAAGCGAGAACGAAGCAGCAGATCCGCCAGCCCCAATTCCTGTTTACCTCGCGCCCTTTTACGCGGGAAGAAAAATAATAATTGTGAGACTTGAAATATAAAATTAAAATTAAAATTAATTAATTAGTTAATTAATTAATTGTTTATTTCCACTTTCGCTCACTTGCATGCAGCTGGACTTCGGCGAAAAGCACGCAAAGACCTTCGCTGTGGCGCTCGAAGAGCCGCTGCTGCTCCAAGCCTGAACGCCTCCTCAGGTGTACGTACACCTCAGCACCCCTCGAAGCGCAGCGCCTCCTCAGGTGTACGTACACCTCAGCACCCCCCACTTGCTCCCCTTCCTTGCCCCGCCCTCCTTCCCCTTTGCTGCTTGTGCTGCTCCCCAGCAGCTTCTGCTGCCTCACGCTGCACTCAGACGGGGGCCCCAGCAGCAGACACAGTCGCAGGGGGCCCCCCTATGGGGCCCCCTGGGGGCCCCCCTGGGGGCCCCCCTGGGGGGCCCCCTGAGGCCTCCGGCAGCACCATATTTCGGTACTTTCCTCTGCAGTGTACAAACAGAAAGAGCAAACACTTCCATAAGCTTTGGCGTTGAAGTAAAAAGACCACCGCAGCCCCGTCTCCAGGGGAAAGCTGCAGCAGCAGCACAAGCAGCAGCAGCAGCAGCAGCAGCAGCAGCAGCAGCAGCAGCGGCAGCGGACCTGTGGGAGTAGCCGGCGAAGAGCCTCTTGTCCGCGAGGTTGAGTCCGAACTTGTCTGCTGCTCGCTGCAGTCCGTACTTCTTGATGGTTTTGAGGCCCTTCATGGACAGCCGCAGCAGCACATAATGTTTTGCTGCTGCCCACCAGAGGCGTTTCCAGCAGAGGTTGAGCCGCTGCACTCGCGGTGTACGTACACCCGAGTGGCTCACCCGCTTCGCCTTCCGGTTGTCCATTTTCCCCAGCAGCATGCACCTGCAGCCACCCAAACCACAAACCCTAAACCCTAAACCCTAGCAGCAGCAGCAGCAGCAGCAGCAGCAGCAGCAGCGCAGCAGCAGCAGCAGCAGCGGGCGGGCGGGCTGCAGCAGGCGCAGGACTTGCGCGTTTTTTGCAGCGAATTGCACGGAAAGGAATTAAACAAACGAATATAAATTAATTAAATTAAATTAAATTAAATTATTTATTTATTTATTTATTTATTTATTTATTTATTTATTTATTTATTTATTTATTTATTTATTTATTTAAACACCTTCGCGCCGGCAACGTTATCGGATTCGCCGGAAGGCCGGTGGCCTTTCGCAGCCGCGGGCGGCCGCGGATTCTGTAGTGTCTAGACACCGAAGAGCGGCCCACGGAGGTGAACTTTTTGCCCTGCAGAATTAAATAAATAAATAAATAATTTAATTAATTAATTAATTAATTAATTAATTAACTAAATTAATTAATTTAATTTGATTTGTTTAATTTGTTCGTCTAATACAACTGCTGAGATATTTGAAAACGCTGCTTTTGCTGCGGCTCAAAAGAACCCCTCCAGCCCCACAAACATCTTCCCTAAACCCTAAACCCTAAACCCTAAACCCTAAACCCTAGGACCGACAGGCAGGAACAAAGGCTCACCATCAGCTGCTGCTTGTAGTGCTTTTCGCTCATCTCTAAACCCGCTAGGCCGGGGGGCCCCCCAGGGCCCCTGGGGGCCCCGGGGGTCCCGGGGGCCCCGGGGGGCCCCCCGGGGGCCCCCCTGTTGGGGGGACCCAGTGGGGGGGCCCCCCACCTGGACAAGAAGGCAGCTGGGGGCCCTTTGAGTTGCTGTTTTGGAAAGAGCAGGGGCCTCCCACCTGCAGCCCAGCTGCTGCTGCTGCTGCTGCTGCTGCTGCACCTGCTGCTGCTGCTGCTGCTGCTGCAGGGGCAGTGCCGCGGCGCCAAGGCGCCCAGGGAAGGGGCGGCGCAGAAAAGAAAAGACTGAGAGGGCTCTGCAGCAAAATGGAGCAGCAGCAGCAGCAGCAGCAGCAGCAGCAGCAGCAAGACACGAAGAGGGGGGCCCCCGGCGCGGATCATTGAGTGTGTGGGAAGTTGGGGTGTGGGCGTGGCACTAAGTGCCTCTTTGCGGGATTTTTGCAAAATTGTTTTTTAATTTATTTAATTTAAAATAAATAAATAAATAAATAAATAAAAAAGAAAAGGGCTGGGGCTGCAGGGGCCCCGCAGAGCTGCTGCTGGCTGCGTGGCCGACAGCAGCGGGTGGTGGCTCTGCAGCAGGGGAGGAAAGAGGGAAAAAAAACAAAAAAGAAATAAAGAAGAGAAACAAATAAAAACAAATAAAGAAAAATGAATAAATAAATTCAAAAAGTATTCCATTTAGTCTTTAATTCCTTAAAACTGGCGAGCTTCGCGTTTGCAGCAGCAAGCGGCGGCGGAGTGGGGCGCTGGCTGCTGCGCGTTTCGAGAGAGGCAATAAGTAAACAGTTTTGCCAATTAAATGATTTAAATGAATTTTAATTTGCGAAATAGTTTTCGACAAGGCGGAAGAGGCCGCGAAAATGAGCTGTCTATACACCCCAGCCCCCAGCAGCCTCTCAACCTGCGCGAGCTGGCAGCAGCAGCAGCTGCTGCTGCGCGCTGCTGCTTGCGTTCCTTTTCTTTTCTTTTTTCCGCCAAAAGTCCAAATTTAACAAAAGAAACAATAAAAGCTGCAACACACCAGCAGCTGGCTTCCCGGGCTTCCGTTTTGCTGCTCCTGACGCGCCTGCTGCTGTTGGAGCCACTGCTGCTGCTGCTGCTGCTGCTGCTGCTGCTGCCTCTCCGCGCTCTCCCGCCCCCTTCGCTTCCCCCCGGCCCTTCTTGCCTTCTGCTTCCCGCCGCTGCTCCCCTCCCCCGCCCCCGCCGCCGCCGCCGCCGCTGCTGCTGCTGCTGCTGCTGCTGCTGCTGCTGCTGCTGCTGCTGAGGATGGCTGGCTGCCTGAGCAAGCTGCCGCTGGTGGCCGCGGGCAGCGGCGCTGCTGCGCTGCTGCTGTGCGCGCCCCCGGCGCTGTCGCTCGCGCCCTCGCTGCTGCAGCAAACCGAAAACCACCCTTTGCTGCTGCTGCTGCTGCGGGCCTTTTTGAACTGCAGCTTCGGGGCCCTTTTTGGCTCCAGCGTTTGGGTCCTTTGCGTCGGCTCGCCGCTGCTCCGCAAACACCTCAACAGGAAACTCCTCAGTAGGTCTGCTGCTGCTGCTGCTGCTGCTGCTGCTGCTGCTGCTGCGCGTTCTCGCGCTGCTGCTGCTCCTTGCCGCGCCGCCCTGCTGCTGCTGCTGCTGCGCGTTCTCGCGCTGCTGCTGCTCCTTGCCGCGCCTGTCTGCTGCTGCTGCTCCCCCCGCTGCCCTGCTGCTGCTGCTTCCCCGTCTCCCTGCTGCTGCTGCTCCCCCTGTCTCTTGCTGCTGCTTCCTGCTGCTGCTGCGCGTTCTCGCGCTGCTGCTGCTCTTTGCCGCGCCTGTCTGCTGCTGCTGCTCCCCCCGCTGCCTTGCTGCTGCTGCTTCCCCGTCTCCCTGCTGCTGCTGCTCCCCCTGTCTCTTGCTGCTGCTTCCTCCCGCTTGCATGCGCCACCGCTTCTGTTTGGGGGCTGCATCTTGCCAACGTAGGGTTTAGGGTTTAGGGTTTAGGGTTTAGGGTTTAGGGTTTGTAGGGAGGCCTGTGGATGTGCCTTTTGTCCGCATTAAGAGCAGCAAATGGCGAATAGCTGTTTTATTTGTTAATCAATTTATTATTTATTTCTAATTAATTGTTTATTATTTATTATTTTATTCATTTTATTTATTTTATTATTCTATTTTGATTTATTTTAATTTATTCCTTGGCACAAAAAATGCCTCGAAATTAAAACCACTTTTGGTTCAAAGAATTAAAAGTTGCATTTGAATCGAAAAGAAAAGAATTCCCTTTGAAAGCGTGGCCTTGCTGCTGCTGCTGCTGCTGCTGCTGCTGCTGCTGCTGCGCTGCAGTTGCGTTTCAGTCGGAGCACTTGTCTCTTTTTTCTTGTTTTTCTTCTGTCTTTTCTTCTTTGCTGTTTTTCACAACTTGTGAATTGGCTTTAAACCACAAGAGACTCCAAGCTGCTGCATGCGCCAGTTTGCTGCTCAACGTGGCCAACTGCTGCTTCTTCTTCCCCAAGCAGGTCAGCAGCAGCAGCAGCAGCAGCAGCAGCTGCTGCTGCAGCAGCAGCAGCAGTGGCAGCAGCAGCAGCAACGGTCGTAGCAGCAGCACGTGTAGCAGCAACAGCAGCAGCTGCTGCTGCAGCAGCAACGGCAACAGCAACAGCAGGAGCAGATGTAGCAGCAGCAACAGTAGCGCAGATGTAGCAGTGTAGCAGCAACAGCTGCAGCAGCGGCAGCAGCAGCAGCAGCGGGGTACAGTTGCTTCGTCCAGTGCGCATGCGAGTTTGTAAATGAACTTCGATCAATTTGCTGCTGCTGCTGCTGCTGCTGCTGCTGCTGCTGCTGCTGCTGCTGCTGCTGCTGCTGCTGCTGCTGCTGCTGCTGCTG